GGCAAGAACAACAATGGCGCGGTCGTGGTGGTGGTGGTGGAGTGTGTGTACGTGTGTGCGTGGACGGACAGCGCGCGCGCCTCAGAAGGTAGTTTGAGTAACAGTAGAGGTATGCACACCAATGCACGTTGTCCGCACGACGCGCGGCGCACACGAGGGTACGCCGCGCGAGTAGGCAGTCAATTCCAAAGCGTACGTCATCACACGCGCACGCGCTCTCCGTCGCTCCTCCGCACACACCACAACACACCACACAGCAGCACACACACATAGTGGCCGCACGCCAGCGGGCTCTCGCACGTGTTTCGTACCGTAGCTCCACATGGGGGTTGTGGCGGAGACGCATAGCGACACTGCTTGGCCATTCTCACGGAGCAGCAGCTACCCACAAGCCGCGTCAAGAACGACAACGACAGTTGCCGCGGCACTCTCGCGCATCACCCGACCGCAGGGGCACCGGTAGCAGCCCGCGTGCGGCTTGAAAATGAGCGCTTTGACCGCTTACAGCTCTCTTCTCTCTCGGCGTCACGGCATCTCTTTCCCCTGATGTAGACGAGCAGCTTGCGGAGATGCTACTGGCGTGCTCGCTAGGTCAAGGGATGGCACGCATACGGACGCACGTGAACGCGCACACGCAGACACGCACCAGCTCAGACTTACTATCTAACGATTATTCCGTACGGTTGCTCATCCGCCACGCGAGGTGGTTCAGTTTTCCCGAGTTACATATGAGGTGAGGATTGTCATCATCGTTGGTGCGCACAGCAGCGTGGTCTTCAGCGGCTCTAGGACATTGTGTTGAACCGCGTGGGGGATGAGTATTGCCCTCCGCAGCCTGCCACGTTCCAGCCGCACAAACATACACATGCACACGTACAGGGGGAGAGTTGAGGGCGGCGCAGCACGCGCGGTCGCGTCAGTGCCGTGTAGTAGTAGGTGCATCAGAGTTCAGACTCGTCTTCCAATTATGATGTTGATCACATCTCAGCAGATTCATCACGCCGACCGCTGCGTCGCCTCCGCGCTCTCGCTCTCTCGCTGTCTCCTCGGCACCTCCGCTCCGCCCGCCACCGCGCACGCATGCTCTCCGCGCGGCGCACTCAGCTGTTCTTTCTCGATTGTGAAGTTCCTTTCGCGTGTCACTCAGATGTGGTGTCAGCGTGTCGCGATGCGAATAGAAAGGTCATCCGTGTGACGCCGGGGAAGGGGGTGGGGGAGGCGGCAGCTCCGCAGGGTGGTTCAGGTCGGCAGCGGCAAGAACAACAATGGCGCGGTCGTGGTGGTGGTGGTGGAGTGTGTGTACGTGTGTGCGTGGACGGACAGCGCGCGCGCCTCAGAAGGTAGTTTGAGTAACAGTAGAGGTATGCACACCAATGCACGTTGTCCGCACGACGCGCGGCGCACACGAGGGTACGCCGCGCGAGTAGGCAGTCAATTCCAAAGCGTACGTCATCACACGCGCACGCGCTCTCCGTCGCTCCTCCGCACACACCACAACACACCACACAGCAGCACACACACATAGTGGCCGCACGCCAGCGGGCTCTCGCACGTGTTTCGTACCGTAGCTCCACATGGGGGTTGTGGCGGAGACGCATAGCGACACTGCTTGGCCATTCTCACGGAGCAGCAGCTACCCACAAGCCGCGTCAAGAACGACAACGACAGTTGCCGCGGCACTCTCGCGCATCACCCGACCGCAGGGGCACCGGTAGCAGCCCGCGTGCGGCTTGAAAATGAGCGCTTTGACCGCTTACAGCTCTCTTCTCTCTCGGCGTCACGGCATCTCTTTCCCCTGATGTAGACGAGCAGCTTGCGGAGATGCTACTGGCGTGCTCGCTAGGTCAAGGGATGGCACGCATACGGACGCACGTGAACGCGCACACGCAGACACGCACCAGCTCAGACTTACTATCTAACGATTATTCCGTACGGTTGCTCATCCGCCACGCGAGGTGGTTCAGTTTTCCCGAGTTACATATGAGGTGAGGATTGTCATCATCGTTGGTGCGCACAGCAGCGTGGTCTTCAGCGGCTCTAGGACATTGTGTTGAACCGCGTGGGGGATGAGTATTGCCCTCCGCAGCCTGCCACGTTCCAGCCGCACAAACATACACATGCACACGTACAGGGGGAGAGTTGAGGGCGGCGCAGCACGCGCGGTCGCGTCAGTGCCGTGTAGTAGTAGGTGCATCAGAGTTCAGACTCGTCTTCCAATTATGATGTTGATCACATCTCAGCAGATTCATCACGCCGACCGCTGCGTCGCCTCCGCGCTCTCGCTCTCTCGCTGTCTCCTCGGCACCTCCGCTCCGCCCGCCACCGCGCACGCATGCTCTCCGCGCGGCGCACTCAGCTGTTCTTTCTCGATTGTGAAGTTCCTTTCGCGTGTCACTCAGATGTGGTGTCAGCGTGTCGCGATGCGAATAGAAAGGTCATCCGTGTGACGCCGGGGAAGGGGGTGGGGGAGGCGGCAGCTCCGCAGGGTGGTTCAGGTCGGCAGCGGCAAGAACAACAATGGCGCGGTCGTGGTGGTGGTGGTGGAGTGTGTGTACGTGTGTGCGTGGACGGACAGCGCGCGCGCCTCAGAAGGTAGTTTGAGTAACAGTAGAGGTATGCACACCAATGCACGTTGTCCGCACGACGCGCGGCGCACACGAGGGTACGCCGCGCGAGTAGGCAGTCAATTCCAAAGCGTACGTCATCACACGCGCACGCGCTCTCCGTCGCTCCTCCGCACACACCACAACACACCACACAGCAGCACACACACATAGTGGCCGCACGCCAGCGGGCTCTCGCACGTGTTTCGTACCGTAGCTCCACATGGGGGTTGTGGCGGAGACGCATAGCGACACTGCTTGGCCATTCTCACGGAGCAGCAGCTACCCACAAGCCGCGTCAAGAACGACAACGACAGTTGCCGCGGCACTCTCGCGCATCACCCGACCGCAGGGGCACCGGTAGCAGCCCGCGTGCGGCTTGAAAATGAGCGCTTTGACCGCTTACAGCTCTCTTCTCTCTCGGCGTCACGGCATCTCTTTCCCCTGATGTAGACGAGCAGCTTGCGGAGATGCTACTGGCGTGCTCGCTAGGTCAAGGGATGGCACGCATACGGACGCACGTGAACGCGCACACGCAGACACGCACCAGCTCAGACTTACTATCTAACGATTATTCCGTACGGTTGCTCATCCGCCACGCGAGGTGGTTCAGTTTTCCCGAGTTACATATGAGGTGAGGATTGTCATCATCGTTGGTGCGCACAGCAGCGTGGTCTTCAGCGGCTCTAGGACATTGTGTTGAACCGCGTGGGGGATGAGTATTGCCCTCCGCAGCCTGCCACGTTCCAGCCGCACAAACATACACATGCACACGTACAGGGGGAGAGTTGAGGGCGGCGCAGCACGCGCGGTCGCGTCAGTGCCGTGTAGTAGTAGGTGCATCAGAGTTCAGACTCGTCTTCCAATTATGATGTTGATCACATCTCAGCAGATTCATCACGCCGACCGCTGCGTCGCCTCCGCGCTCTCGCTCTCTCGCTGTCTCCTCGGCACCTCCGCTCCGCCCGCCACCGCGCACGCATGCTCTCCGCGCGGCGCACTCAGCTGTTCTTTCTCGATTGTGAAGTTCCTTTCGCGTGTCACTCAGATGTGGTGTCAGCGTGTCGCGATGCGAATAGAAAGGTCATCCGTGTGACGCCGGGGAAGGGGGTGGGGG